GAGTCCCGAGCCATCAGCGAGCCCGCTCGCGCGCGGCGCGACCCCACCTCGCGCGAGGGCCCCAGCACATCGCGCGCTCTGGCCCTGGCCCTGGCCAAGCCCGCCCGGCAACAGGGCGCCCATCCGCTGGTAGAAGCGGGCGGAACAACGAAGCGGGAAGGCGTCGAACACAAATTGGAGATCCGTCCGCCCCCTGAAGACGAACGAACAAGGAAAACCGCTCGACCCGCGAGGTAGGATGGCGCCTATAGCAGACTGGACTCACGGGTGCAGACATATATGCCCTCAACGACCGACGGCCGCCCGCCGCCCGCCCCCGCGACGCGCGCTTGAGAAAGGAAGCCGAGAGGGGTCCTGCGGCAAGATCACGACGAAGACGGCGCGACAGAGAGCGCAGAGGGGGGGAGGGGGGGGCAGCGGAGGGGGGGGGGGGGGCGCGCGCCGCGCGCGCGCGCGCCAGGCCCTCAAGGGAGCCCGAGGCCCCGGCTGGGCGGCCACGCGCCGCGCCCCGGCGAAACCGCAGCCTCTGCGAGCCGCCGAGCCGCCTTCCTCGCCTGACCGAACCGCCTCTGCCGCGGCCGCCCCGGCCACGACCCGCTCGAAGGGCGGAGTCGCCGAGGGCGCCCAGCTCGGCCTCGAGCGCGCGGCGGACGGCGCCGAACCAGCCGCGCGCCAAAACGCCCACAGGACTGGCGAGGGCGCGCGCCGCGCCCCGCCCGCCGCGGGCGAGGAACTCCCCAGGCGGGGCCTCGCTGCTCCGGCGCCTCTCGGGATTCCTCCTCTGGGGCGCGCGCCGCGTCTGCGCCGCTGGCCGCGGCCGCCGCCCAAGCCTGGCGCTTCCAGCCCTGGCGCGCGGCCACGGCCGCCAGCGCCCAGCCAGCCTCGCCTCCATCAGCCGCGCAAACCCCCTCAGCGGGCGCTTCGTGTAGGGCCGCCCTGGTGGCGCCCGCCCAAGGGGTCGGCGCCGCGGGCCGCCCTCCCCTCGGCCCGCGCCACGACGCCGCGCGGAAGCGCTGGCTCCAAGCGAACGCCTGGCGGCGCGACGGGCGCATCGGCGCGGGTCGCCCCTCCAGGGGCGCTCGCCGCGGGACCTGCGTCGCGGACCGCCCCGTTCGGGGCGCTCGCCGCGCGCGCGCCCTCGGAACCGCGGGTCGCTCCGGCGGGGGCGCTCGCCGCGCGCTGCCCCATTGGGGGCGCAAGGCCGCCATCGTCCTCGTCGTCTGCGTCGGCCCAGCTGGGTCTCGGCACCAGTTCGAAGCCCGCGCGCGCCGGGGAAAGCAGGGTGCCCCCCCGAGCGCCATGTCCGCGCCTGGAGGGGGTCCAGGAGTCCAGGGTTTTCCTGCAACACCTGCAGGTCGTAGCCCTCGCTGTCAGCACCTCTTGAGTTCAGCGGCCTGCAGGCCTGGTCTGAGGGGGCGCTCAGGCTCCCGCCCGCCGCCCTCAGGCGCGGCCCGTCTTGTCCTTCCCTGGTCGGACCTGGAAGGCCCACGCTGAAGGAAGAGCCTTGGTCAGTCAGCCTGCCGGAGGATCCCGTAAGGGCACCAGCTGAAACCCCTTCGCTGCTCCGGGCAGCAGGGGTGCCCGTGCGCGAGCTGGATTGGGCAGAGGCACCAAGTCCTGGCCCACCCTGCCTGGAGGAACGGCCGCGCTGCCGCCCCGCTGGAGCCATCCATGCACCGGGTCCGCGCCGCGCGGGGGCGCCGCGCGCGCACGCGCGGTCGGGGCAGACCTCGAGCATGCCCCTCGGCTGCGGGCATGAGCCCAAATGGCGTAAGTCAGCATGGCTACGGATTCCTTCCCCCGACGCCCACTGCACGGTCCATGTTCCCATGCGGGCGTTGGGACGTCCAGATCCCGCCGTTCGCTGACCTCTTCCTCATCCCTCCTCCTTACCCCTCCTCCTCGCTCACTCTTCCTCCTCACCCCATCCATCCCTCCCTTCTCTCCCCTGCCCTCCTCGCTCCCTCTGTCCTTAAAGGGGAGGCAAGTGGGAGAAAAAGGAAGCTTTGAAGTGATATTACGGGATGCTAAGGTCTTTTGGGGCCCCAGAACATTCTGCAGGGTTCTCCTCCCATTGCTGATGTAGCTGCTGCTGATTACAGCAAAGCCGAGCAGGCAAACAGAGCCAACAGATAAACGTACTTCAACGGTACCCGACACAATAGCAAGATCCGTAACTCCGTAACTCCTTCCACCTTTCTTCAGTCCATCCCCCTCATCCTCCTCCGCCTCTATCCCGATCCCCTCCTACTCCTCCTCCTCCTCCTCCTCCTTCTCCTGCTCCTCCTCCTCCTGCTCCTCCTCCTCCTCCTCCTCCTCCTTCTCCTCCACTTCCTCCTCCAAATGTTAATACTCCTCCTCATCGCCACCACCACCACAACCACCATCATGCTCATCATCATCATCATCATCATCATCATCATCATCATCATCATCATCATCATCATCATCATCATCATCATCATAATCATAATCATCATCATCATCATCATCAGCATCATCATCATCAGCAGCAACGTCATCATCAGCATCAGCATCAGCATCATCACCGTCATCGTCATCATGATGATGATCGTCATCAGCATCATCATCATCATCATCATCATCATCACCATCATCAGCTTCATCATCATCGTTATCATCATCATCGTCGTCATCTTCATCAGCATAATCATCATCAGCAGCATCAGCATTGTCAGCATCACCATAATCATCATCATCAGCAACATCATCATCATCGTCATCGACATCGTCATTGTCAGCATCATAATGATCATCAACATAATCGTCATCATCGTCATCGTCATCGTTATCATCATCATCAACATCATCATCATCATCATCATCGTCCTCGCCATCGGCGTCATTATCATCAACATATGCAGCAGCATCGGCATCATCGCCAGAAGCGCCCGCATCATCATCATCATCATCATCATCATCATCATCATCATCATCATCATCAGCATCATCATCATCATCATCATCATCATCATCATCATCATTAGCAGCATCATCATCATCGTCATCGTCATCACCAGCATCATCATCATCATCATCATCATCAGCATAATCACAATCATAGTCGTCATCATCATCGTGATCACCATCCCATCAGCAACAGCATCATCAGCAGCATTATAACAATCGGTATCGTCGTAACCATCGTCATCATCCTCATCAGCAGCAGCATCAGCGGCAGCAACATCCTTATCAGCATCAGCATCATCGGCATCTTCATCCGCGTCCTCATCATCCTCGTCTTCATCATCATCGCTCTTTACCACCAGCACCACCATCATCTTCATTGCCACGATCGTGACCACTCACCACAGTATCATCCTGATCATCAGCATCATCGTCATCATCACCACCATCGGCATGCCTACCATCATCATCAGCAGCATCATCAGCATCAACATCAACATCATCAGCATCGTCATAATTCTCGCCATAATTATCATAATTATCAGCATCAGCATCATCATTATCATCATCAGCATCATCATCATCATCATCATCAGCATCATCATCAGCGTCATCATCATCATCGTCATCATCATCATCATCATCGTCAGCGTCCCCCTGCTCCTTCCCTCCTCCTCCCCCTCATCAGTCCTCCCCCCCGCATCCGCCAACTGCTCATCCTCCTCCTCGTCATCTAGATCATGAGCATCACAATTATCAGCAGCAGCGTCATCATCATCATTAGCAGCATCATCATCAGCGTCATCAGCATTATCAGGATCGCCATCGGCCTCATCATCGTCATCATCCTCATATCAGTAGCAGCATTAGCATCAACATCAGCAGAATTCGCATCCGCATCCGCATCATCGTCAATCGAATTACCATCGCATTCAACAGGTCAGAACACCCAGCACACTCTGCAGTATCCTCATCATCACTTCCATCGTCACATCATCACCATCACCATCACCATCAGCACCATCACCACCATCATCATCATCATCATCATCAGCATCAGCATCAGCATCAGCATCATCATCGTCAGCATCGTCATCATCATCAGCATCAACATCAGCAACATCATCATCAACATCATCATCATCAGCCATCAACATTATCATCACCTTTGCCCCCTCATGCTCTTCCCCTCCTCCTCCATCCCTGTTGCTTATGAGTAACGCCTCCCTGTCTCACCGCGAGGCGGGTCGGTAGGGCGGGCATGGCGTTTCGCCTGAGACTTCTTCACCATGTATGGTCGTTTAGCTGAGAATTCGCAAGAGATTCACTGATGGATTGCGGGGCGTTTCCAAAATGTGGCCCTCGCCTTAGCACCACGCACATCGGTCTTGAACAGTTGTAAGAACATCACAGATGAAGGGTGGCTCGTTTTCAAGATGTGGCTCTCGCCTCAGTGCCGCGACACACTCGTTTTACAAATGTTCAAGAGCTTCCTGGATGAAGGGCGGGCCATGTTCGAAAAGTGGCCCTGGCCTTAGCGCCGCGCAACCTCGTCTAAAACATTTGAAGAATTTTCACGGATAGACGGCGGGTCGTTTTCAAAAGGTGGCTCTCGCATTAGCGCCGCGCACAAGATATTAAACCATACTCAAGTATTAGCATGGCTCACGTTTCAGCAATGGTGTTCTGGCACGATGTCGGACAGTCAGGGCGCCATAGTTACGTTGATTCGCTGCGTTGAAATCCCAGGAGTGGTGTTCTGGCACGATTCAGGATGGTCAAGACGCAACATATACGATGATTCGCGGCGTTCAAATCCCAAGAATTGCATTCTGGCGCAACTCGGGATTTTCAAACGGTTGTACCGGGCACTGCCCTCAGTGGACATGAATCCACAGGGAGTTCGGAGGATGTGTGTGTTGCAAGATCATTGGTGAGCTTTAGGTTTACACTTGTCCTCCTCCTCCTCCTCCTCCTCCTCCTCCTCCTCCTCCTCCTCCTCCGTCTACTCCTCCTACTCCTCCTGCTCCTTCTACTCGCGCGGCAGCACAGGCAGACATCTCAGCCCCCGCCTCGATGGGACACGGGCCGGGGAACGCCGGCAGCAGCGACGCGTGGACCAGCTGTTGGGAGGCCACAAGAACGTCTGCCCGTATGCCCCACGTACCAGATGCCCCTTCTCCTCCTCCGCCTCCTCCTCCTCAAAGGAAGGGGGAGGAGGCAAACGAGAGGGGAAAAGAAAAAGGGGGAGCCAGGACCAATGGAGGAGGAGGACGACGACGAAGAGGGGAAACGGCAGGAGGAGCTCCTCCTCCTTCTCCTCCTCTTCCTCATCCACCTCGTCCCCCTCCTCTTCTCCTCTTCTTACTCCTCCCCCTCCCCCAGCCCGCTCCTCCTCCTCCTCCCCACACGCATGCTTCAACTCATACTCCTGCTCGGATCCTGGATACTCTTCGAGGGGGAGGTGTAGGGGGAAGACGTCAACGGCGACAAACGGAACGAGAAGAACAATAATACGAAGAGGCACAGCGACAGGAGCAGCGACATAACTAGCAGAAGGACGAGGATGATGGTGAAGAGGACGACAAAGACGACGGGGACGAGGGCGAAGACGTGGACAAGGTCCAGGTCCAGGAAGATGATGACGCGGACACGTGCGAGGAGGGAGAGGACGAGGACGAGCATGGTGATGAGGACACACATGACGGGGAGGTGGAGAACGAGGGGAAGGATGGGGAGCAGGTGGTGAAGATGGAGTGTCCACTACAGTCGAACTATACATCTGGGTGGGAAGCAACTTGGAAAAGCTCATCGCCCGAAAGGGGGAGCTGGAAAGAGCAGAAGCGAAGGATGAGGATGACGAAGACGGCGACGAAGACAACACGTTCACCATTACCGCGCCCCAGATCCGCCACCGTGACCCTGGCACGTTGAGACGCTGTAGAATGCCAATTGCTGTCTGTCGGGAGGTGGGGGTGATACAGCTGCGTGCATTACCCCCACCTCCCGAGGATTCCTGGTGCGTCGACGCCTCCATGGGACTCTCCAAGGCCGTCTAACCCTCTAAGACTCCCAAAGTGGCCTAGACGGCCCCCGAGGCCGCCAAGATGATCCAACATTGCCGCAAGGGACATCCAGCTGCCCCTCAGAAGCTCTCACGAGGCCGCCAAGGGGCTGCAAGACACCCCCGAGACGCTCTGCAGGAGGACCTCGAGAAGCTAAAAACATTGATGTCCTTCTGGTGGCTTCATTGTGCTCCCTTTCCACGCGCTTCGGTCGAATATCGCTCCACTTGCGATCTTCGAAAACCCCAAGAAGGCCCCATAGACGACCCAAGACGACAGGAGTGAAGGGGCCCTGGGTCACACTAATACATACACACAAACAACAGGGTTCCCAACCCCATATGTTCTAGGTTGTTGTCTTCCCCCCCACTTCCCATATTTTCCCATCTTTTCCTGGGAGTGGACAATTAATTGTGTCTGTGTGTTTTTTTCCCTCCTGAAAGAGGGCCTCCAGAGCAGAGGAACCCAGATCGCCCCAAGACTGCCCAAGAGGGCCCCCAAAGCGGCCTCACGACGGCCCCAAGAGACTCTGCAGACTGCCAGGACTGCCCTAAGACGGCCCGAAAGGGCTCCAAGACGACCGACGAGGGCCTCAGGGGACCCCCCATACCGCCCCACAGAAGGCCAAAACAGCCCCGAGATGGCAAAGTAGGCCCCATGAGAGCGCCCCAAGAAGTGAAAACAAGAGGTGTCACATGAGACCTCCTGGGTAATGCTCGAAGGGTCGCCACAGAGCGTGCTTCACTTGCACTGTGGCCGATGTACCACAGGCACCTGGGTATTCCCAAAATCTTGCCAACACGACAAACATTGTGCGTTACAACGTCTACAAAAGACTTCCAGGACTGACAGGAGAAGAGACCAGAAAGAAAACCCTTGGATGTATGAATGCTTCGAAAACTCTGGACTTCCTCGGCTTCTCTCGACCCCCAACGAAGACGAGAGATGCAGGAGAAGGGAGAAGAGCAGACACAGAGAAGAGTGTCGCCAGCACTCTGCCCATGTAGCGCTGCAGCAGCTGGCGGGTCAGCAGAGTCCGGTCGACGTCGTCCAGCACCACGATGAAGTCCGGCGTCAGGGACGTCATGAGCTCGTCGAACTGCCTCGCAGGCCAACAGCGAGGCCAGAGGAACTGATAGCCCATGGGAGAAGCGGCGGGAGGATGATGAGAAGGGATGGGGATCGGGCGGCGAAAGACGACGACGACGACGACGACGACGACGACGGCGACGACGACGGCGACGACGACGGCGACGGCGACGGCGACGGCGACGGCGACGGCGACGAAAACGGCGAAAACGACGAAGACGAGGGCCGTACCCGCCGCACGGCTACGGGAGAGCCGCCGCCGCGCCGCCGCCGCGAGGTGGCCGCCAGGGTTAGGTCGGGCATGTCCCCCCAGCGCGGATTTGTAGCGAAAAGAGAAGATACTCAAAAGGAGTACCCAAAATAGCAAAAACAAAAAAAAACAAAAAAAATGCTCAAAGCCTCGTCCCCAGACCATTTGACTACTTTTGAATACTCCTCTTGTAACTAAGGCAGATTCGTGCGGCGTCGGCGCGCGCAAAAGCGTTTGACACCGCGCCGATCATTCAGCCTTGAATCGATCGCGGCCCCGATCGTTCAAGGCTGTATCCAGTCGGGCCCAGTGGCGCCACCGTGTCCATGGGTGCGTCCGAGTCGCAGAAGTCAACCCTGAACGCCTTCGCCGGCGTCGCTGGCGCGCCCACGCCGCACGAACCTACCTGTACAGTCAAGCCGCTGAAAGAAGAAACGCTAAAGAAGGAACGAAGCCCCTTCTTGGCCCTGTAAGCGCCTCCGTGCCCCAGGAGGGCAAGAGGAACAGCACTGGAGGAACCTAAGGGTCTCGGGACTATTGTTTGGTGTATTTGTTTACCTTTTTGGGGCATGTTTTGGGCTATTTACCTAACAGCTCTTGCTGATAGGTTTCTAGTGGTCTCAAAAGAAAGCATCTTGACGCCCCAGGGGGGTCTGGGCGGGACCCGGACAGCCCCAGGAATCCTTAGGCACGATCCGGCAGGATCCGGCAGCCCCAGGAATCCTTAGGAATCCTTAAGAATTCTTACGAGTCCTTAAGAATCCATTCCCAAAACACCATTCCCAGGCCACATGTTGAATGCCCAGAGCCAACTGTAGGCCACTTCGTGTTCTTCGTGTTCCCAGAACACCATACCCGGGCCACATTTTGAATGCCCGGAGCCAACTGTAGGCCACTTCGTGTTCTTCGTCCTCCCAGAACACCATTCCCAGGCCACATTTCGAATGCCCGGAGCCAACTGTAGGCCACTTCGTGTTTTCGTCTTCCCAGAACACCATTCCCAGGCCACATTTTGAATGCCTGGAGCAAACTGTAGGCCTCTTCGTGTTCTTCGTGTTCCCAGAACACCATTCCCAGGCCACATTTTGAATGCCCGGAGCCAACTTTAAGCCACTTCGTGTTCTTCGTGTTCCCAGAACACCATTCCTGAGGCAGGCTGAGGCTGAGGCAGGCTGAGACTGAGGCTGAGGCAGGCTGAGGCTGAGGCTGAGGCTGATGCAGGCTGAGGCTGAGAGGCTGACGCTGAGGCTGAGGCAGGCTGAGGCTGAGGCTGAGGCCGAGGCAGGCTGAGGCTGAGGCTGAGGCTGAGGCTGAGGCTGAGGCTGAGGCTGAGGCTGAGGCTGAGGAGGCAGGCTGAGGCTGAGGCTGAGGCTGAGACTGAGGCAGAGGCTGAATGCTGAGGCTGAGGCTGAGGCTGAGGCTGAGGCTGAGGCAGGCTGAGGCTGAGGCTGAGGCAGGCTGAGGCTGAGGCTGAGGCTGAGGCTGCAGGCTGAGGCTGAGGCCGAGGCAAGCCGAGGCAGGCTGAGGCTGAGGCTGAGGCTGAAGCTGAGGCAGGCTGAGGCTGAGACAGGCTGAGGCTGAGGCTGAGGCAGGCTGAGGCTGAGGCAGGCTGAGGCTGAGGCCGAGGCAGGCTCAGGAGGCTGAGGCAGGCTGAGGCTGAGGCAGGCTGAGACTGAGGCTGAGGCAGGTTGAGGCTAAGGCTGAGGCTGATGCAGGCTGAGAGGCTGAGAGGCTGACGCTGAGGCTGAGGCAGGCTGAGGCTGAGGCTGATGCCGAGGCAGGCTGAGGCTGAGGCTGAGGCAAGCCGAGGCAGGCTGAGGCTGAGGCTGAAGCTGAGGCAGGCTGAGGCTGAGGCTGTGGCTGAGGCTGAGGCAGGCTGAGGCTGATGAGGCTGAGGCTGAGGCAGGCTGAGGCTGAGGCTGAGGCAGGCTGAGGCTGAGGCTGATGCAGGCTGAGGCTGAGAGGCTGACGCTGAGGCTGAGGCAGGCTGAGGCTGAGGCTGAGGCTGAGGCCGAGGCAGGCTGAGGCTGAGGCTGAGGCAAGCCGAGGCAGGCTGAGGCTGAGGCTCCTCCTCCTGTGAGCGTTTTCTTATCCGGCGTGTCGACATTGGGCGGAAGGGGGGTGAGGGGGGGGTCCGGCTCCAGACCTCTGCGTAGTGCGACTGTTTGCAAGAGTGCGTCCTATGAGGAAGGCTCCACCTGCTCAAAACAGGCGCCAAAAACAGCCAAGATCTACTCCAAAGGGGGGGGAGGGGGGGGGCCGATCTGCAAAACGATGGGTCTTGAGTTTACCCTGTGATACGTGTCCTAGAGAGACGCCAGCAAAAGGGACTTCTGAGACTTGGGCGTTGCCCCTGAGACTTCCAGAAGTGCGAGTGACAGGGTCATGCGGCGACCCTGTGGGCGAAGCCGAGCGGACTTGTCGCCCGTCTCAAGAGTCCCTTTCCCTGGGGTCCCCTTTGGGGTCCCCTTTGGGGTCCCCTTTGGAACCACATGACGACTGGTCCTCCCTCCTCCTCCTCCTCCTCCTCCTCCTCCTCCTCCTCCTCCTCCTCCTCCTCCTCCTCATCCTCATCCTCCTCCTCCTCTTCTGCTTCCCGCCGGGGGCAGCCTCGAGAAGTCCGCCGAGATCGACGAGCTGCCCTGCCCGGCCCCGTCGTCCGCTCCGGTGCCGGGCGCGGGGCCACCTCCCTCCGCGTCCTCGCGGGGGCGGCAGGGGGGCGGAAGGGGAGAGGGGGGGCGAGACGGGCGCAGGGCACGGGGGGGGGGCGCGGGAAGGGGGAGGGGGAGGAGGAGGGGGAGGAGGAGGGGGAGGAGGAGGGGAGGAGGAGGAGGAGGAGGAGGAGGGGGAGGTGGGAGGTTCGAAAATAGCTGGCGTGAAATGTTCTTTCGCGCGGTGACGTTTGTTTCTGCGGCCACCCACGGCGCGCAGGGTTTGGACGCCCCCAGGCAAATATATCATGAATGACAATAACACAAGTCGTCGGTGTAATTTTGTTGCTGCATTTCGGTAATAGTTTTGCGTTTGCCCAGAGTTATACTCTACGTTTGCCTTGCTCCTGTTGCTGGCGTCGCCGCCACTGCCGCTTATTGCAGCTTCTCCGCGGCAGTGGTTTTGTTCGTTGGCAGCACAACAATCATATCCATGATCATCCTTATCCACCTTCGCGTGATCACCCTCCCCATGATCAGAATCACCCCCCATTTCCCTCGCGCCGTGTTCCACCACGCCCCCCTTCCACCCCCGTTCAACGTCAACATTCTCATAGTCCTCACGTTCCTCTCCCTTCCCCTCTCGCATAGTCGGAACGATACGAGCAAATATTGTTCCCCACCCGACAAGTTGGGGTCGTTATATTTAGAACAGACCTCCCGACCCGTCCACCCTGCATACCGCGGCCGCCAGATCCCCAGGCTACCGAGTATCCCCGAGAGTCCCGCCTCGCGCCCCTCTGCATACCGCGGCCGCCAAATCCCCAGGCTCCCGAGTATCCCCGAGAGTCCCGCCTCGCGCCCCTCAACATACCGCGGCCGCCAAATCCCCAAGCTTCCGAGTATCCCCGGGAGTCCCGCCTCGCGCCACTCTGCATACCGCGGCCGCCGGATCCGCAAGTCTCCCGAGTATCCCCGAGTGTCCCGCTCCGCGCCGACAAATCATAACATGGCAGAGCGGAATTACACGGTGAGCTATGACAGAACAGCGCATCACTCCACACCACCTAACATAACATATCCGAACATACCATATTAGAGCATGGCATATCATATCGTAACATACCACACCATGACAGAGCAGCGCATACCATAGCACAGCAGCACATGACATGCCATTACATAGCACGACAACGCAAGCATACCACAAGAACACATCGCAGAGCTGAACATACCACAACAGAACATGGCACAGCCTTACATAATATGAGATAACACAGCATATAACAACACAACACAGCACCGCATGTTATGATATATCGGAACACCCATAACGTGTTATGACATAGCAAGTCATACCATAGCATGGCATAACACATCCTAGCATACCATACCATAATAGAACACACCAAACGTAGCACATCATCACATGCAATCTAGCATGAAATACATCGTGGCAACACAGGCGACATATCATAGCATGATAGAGTCAGAGTGAGGTATAAGAGGCTACATCATAGCATAACATAACCTTATAGACAACCATGAGCTATGGCATAACATATCATATCTAAAACACCATACCACACCTCATACCATCATAACAGATCATGTGATCAGTACATAACATGCGATGCCATACCATATCATACCATAACATACCATGGCATAACTTGTCACACCGTAGCACAGCACCAAACGCATGCATTACACAACATGACAAATCATACCATGACAGATCGCGGCATACCACATAAAATATCGCGTAACATAATATACCGTCCAGCCATGACATAACAACGCGCACTATTTCATAACACGTCAGAACAGGACATCACAGGATACACCATAACAAACATACAGAACATAAGTTCACACCACACATCATAGCATACAAGGGCAGAACACACCGGTGCATAGCGTAACAGAAGAAAATATACCATTTCACACAATGACATAACACAACATAACCTAGCACAGAATCCCAGTATTCCGGACAACGCATATTACAACATGATATACTGTATTGCTGGGGTACAACATCAAACGCGACGTACGCGCCGGGGTCAGGCTGGCCGCAGGAGCAAACAGGCGCAGCAACGACCGATCGGACGACGTATCTAACGTGACAGGCGTCACGGCGTCACGCCAGCCAGTCGAGAACAAAACAGACAGAATAGAGCACAATGTAATACAACAGGATCAAATCAACATACTAGAACGAATCGAGCACACTGGAACTAACATAACATCACATAACTGTTGTAGTCCTGCTACCCCTACGCCAACAATTTGGATATACCATGATTGGCTATGACTGCATGACGTCTACCATAACGAACTGAGCATGCCCTGAACATAATCACATATAATAACATGACATGGCCGAACCTGGCAGAGCATACGTATCATGTCAGAACGTGGTGCCACGGAGCAGAGCATACCATATAATATCATACAGAGGTTAACATCATAAAGCATATGTTGACAACATAGAAACATAAACTTAAAGAGGAGCTGCATAACGTACTAGGCCGTACCAAAACATGATCTAACGCGACGTGCGCGATGAGGTCATCCCAGCAACAGTTACAAAGAGGCGCACCAACGACCGATCGGACGACGTATCTAACGTGACAGGCGTCACGGCTTCACGCCGTCCCGTCGACAACATAACAAATCATACTGTAGCGTTGCATGATAGAAACTTCTGGAGCATAACATGACTGAACACTGCTAAATACAGCAACGACAGATCAAGGGCGCACTAGCATCCGCGCCTGGCCACAAGAAACAAAAAAGACGCGGCAACGACCGATTAGACGACATATCAAACACAACAGGCGTCACGACGTCACGCAGCCCCGTCGAGATCAGAACAGAAACAAACATATGTACATGTAACAAAACAGAACCGAACACAACGCGATAGAATAATTCAGCAGAGACCGAGTACAGGCGGCCTATCATAAGCGACATGCGCGCCAAGCCCAGGCTGGCCACAGAAACAAACAGTAGCAGCAACGACAGACTAGAAGCCATGATAAACGTGACGACGTCACACCGGCCAGTCACAACATTACAGTGGGCCAGAATCGAGCCGAACAGAAATAGAGCACAATATGACGTATACGCCAGCCACCACTCACGGCGTCTCATCAAACGCGACATGCGCCCCGTCGTCAGAGGAGGACGGGCCGTCCGGCGGAGGAGGAAGGAGAGGTCCGCCTCACCTACTCCTCGTCCTCCGTCGTCGTCCGCCTCCTCGTCGTGCTGCTGCTGCGGCTCCTCCTGTCCTCTTTCAACAGGCTGCTGATTCTCTCCGAAAAAGTTATGGGGTCTCGCAAAACTCGTTTTGAGGGCCGGGTTGTCGCTCAAGGAGCGTGTTTCGGTGACAAACGTCAGGGGCCATGGGGTTGCTAGAGTGTCGGAAAACGCCAACTTGCGACCTGGCCCGGCCACCGCGCTGGCCGAGACCGCCGGGCCCCGCGCACATCGTTTCAGTAGGCGCGCGCACCATTGGGAACAAACGCCGAAGGTTTCGGTGGGAATCGCTCGAAGCAAAACAATGCATGATATGATTATTGCACTGGTTTGGGACCACGTCGAAAACGTTACAAACGGCTGTTTTGATGCTCCCGTCTTGAGTTCTAGGAAGCTGCCAACCTCCTAGCTGGAGGCGAGCGGGGGGATCATGATCCCAGACCACGGCTCCGAGGGCACAACACTTCCACCGCAAATCCACAAGCCTGGACCTGCAAAGCAGCCGAGCCTGTGCACCATGAGGAGACTAGGGGACCAAAAAGTGACATAAACATGAAAACTCCGAGGTCCGCGCGGATTTCTCGGATCCGCGCTGGACCCCCCTGCCTGGCGCGCGGAGCGCGCCAGGGGCGGCGCCGGAGGCGCCGCCGGGGGGCCCCAGCGCCGATCCGAGAAATCCGCGCGGACCTCCGCGTTTATACGTTTATGCCACTTTTTGTTCCCCCACTTTCCATTGGGGAATCGACGATTAATTGTGTCTGTGTTTTTTTTTCTCTCCTGAAATACTTCCACCGTAAGTCCACAAACCTGGACCTTCAAAGCAGCCGAGCCTGTGCACCATGAGGAGAGAGCCAGCGGAGCTGCAGGGCCCCGGCGCTGCAGCGGGGCAGGCGCCGACGAATCTCCGACGCAACATCCGGCGGCCCGTCTCCAGCACCCGACGGGCGGTGGCCGAGAGCAGCTGGCGCCCACGGAGGTCACCTAAGCCTACAGTGGAGGCCCATGCCAGGAAACACCCTGCTTGCCTCCAGGGTGCCCTGGGTTTCCTGGGTCTCGATGGCATCGCGATGGAAGGCGTGACGCTCCCACACCCAAAACCAATCGACGCCCTGGGGTCTCATGGTTGGGGTTCTTGCGGAAGGCTTCGTGTGGTCGGGCCCCGACTGTAGGCCCCACCAGGCTGGCTCGGCGTGGCGACCATTCATCGGCATGGGCAGCGCTCCGTGGGCGATCGTCAACAAGCAATGCCAGCCCGCGCGGCGCCCGACGCGCTTCGCCCGAATTGCCCACGCCGCCGCCCAGGACCACCTCGACGCCACCATGGCCACCGAACCCCATGTGCGGACCGGCTGCGCTCCGATTCGGAATGAGGTCCTGCATCTGCTGCGACGCATCCACCATGTCAGCGCCAGCGCCCCCGACCTGATTAGGGTACCCTCCCGAAACTGATTTCGATCTTATACCGCGGTCCGACTGTACGCTGACCCGCGCCCAGGTGACAATGAGGGCGGTTGGCGGCTAGGGATCCCGCCACGGCCGCCTCCGCCGCCCTGCGGGCCGGCTCCACCAGGCATCACGCGTGCGAGCCAGAAAAGAGCGATGATGAAGAACATGAGGATGTCGCCCCAAAACATCAAGATGGACTTCCTCCTCGAATAGACGCCACTACGATGGGAGCTGCGGGGGCGCCTTGGGACTCGGGCCCGCGCAGGGATGCCGAAGCTGCGGGCGGCCATACTGACAACCTCGATCGAAGCCGGAGGTGGTGCGAATGGTACATTGGCATTAAATGTTCCACTCCGGTGGTGCCACGCGCTCGCAAGGACGGCCAACACTGCCGCACCCATCACGAGGCACAGTGCTAACCTTGCCAGCAGCCTCGCTGTCATGCCCGACGCGAAGCGACGGCCAGGACCTATGGAGTGCGATGGGTCGTGAGAAACGTCGTGGCGTTCCCGTGGGCGGTCGCTCCACATCGCGTAGCCTGCAGCTGCCTTTGCCCTCCCAGCTGGATCCTCACACAGACTCGAACGATGTTGTTTGTCTGTGGGCGTCTGGGGCGAATTGCCCGAAGCCTTGCAAAATAACTATAAGCACAAGCTGTTCTGGGATTGGAGGGTGGTGCCAATGCGGAGGCGAAGGGAAGTGCGAACGCGCGTCCACATTGCATTCTGCGCACGTTCCGAGGATCGCGAGCTGGGATCGTTCCCAGCTCCGCTTCCAATTAGAATTGCGGAGTTTGGAAGCTTGGCGAGCATTGCGTCAACAAGATGTAGATAGGGGGTTGTCCAACACATCAATACAGTTAGTATGTGCCGGCGCTGAAGCCAAGCGTCGGCAGAGCATCCGATTTGAATGCGGAGGAGGAGGACGACAACAACGACGACGATGTGAGCAGGGAGAACGAGGAGAAAGGAGGAGGCAGGATGGACAGAGGGTTGGGAGGTAGATGGGATTAAAACTAGCACAGGAAGAAAGAGGAGGAGGGAGACGGCAGGGAGGGAGGAAGAAAGGAGGGATGAGGAAGGGAGGGAAACAAAGCGAAAGGAAAACCAACAAAAAGGTAATAAGGCGGAACAGGAGGTGGACGAGAAGAGCGCCTCGCTTTTCTGCTGAGCCTGGGGCGGAAAGCCCCCCCATAGGCTGCCGGCGGTTCCTCGCCCGCGCCCGAATCGAGGCCCTCGAGGCCCTCGCAGTAGAATTCGGTGGAGGCGAACTGACCCTTGCCCAGCACCGTGGCTTGCAGGCCCATGTTCCTGGGAATTCCCCCAAACCTCCCCCTCCTCCTTCTCCTCCTCCTCCTCCTCATTCCTCCTCCTCCTTCTCCTGCTCCTCCTCCACCTCCTCCTCTTCCTCTTCCTCCTGCTGCTCCTCCTCCTCCTCCTCTTCCTCTTCCTCCTGCACCTCCTCCTCCTCCTCCTCCTCCTCCTCCTCCTCCTCTTCCTCCTCCTCCTCCTCCTTCTCCTCCTCCCCCTTCTCCTCCTCCACCTGCTCCAAATTCGCCTCCACCTTGTCTCCTTCCTCCTCTTCTTCATCCTCCTCCTCCTCCTCCTCCTCCTCATCATCATCATCAGCATCACCACCATCTGAATCATCATCATCATCATCATCATCATCATCATCATCATCATCATCATCATCATCATCATCATCATCATCCTCATCATCATCCTCATCATCATCATCATCATCATCATCATCATCATCAGCATCAGCATCATCAGCAGCAGCAACATCATCATCAGCATCAGCATCATCATCATCATCATCATCATCCTCCTCATCCTCATCCTCATCCTCATCCTCATCCTCATCATCATCATCATCAGCAGCATCATCATCATCATCATCATCATCATCATCATCATCATCATCATCATCATCATCATCATCTGCCTCCTCATCTTCTCATTCTCCTCCTCCCACTCCTCCATCTAATACGACTACTACTACTACTACTACTACTACTACTACTACTACTACTACTACTACTACTACTACTACTACTACTACTACTACTTCTTGTTCTACTACTACTACTACTACTACTACTACTACTACTACTACTACTACTACTACTACTACTACCACTACTACTACTACTACTACTACTACTACTACTACTACTACTACTACTACTACTACTACTACTACTACTACTACTACTACTACTACTACTACTACTACTACTACTACTACTACTACTACTACTACTACTACTACTACTACTACTACTACTACTACTACTACTACTACTACTACTACTACTACTACTACTACTACTACTACTACTACTACTACTACTACTACTACTACTACTCATCATCGGCCATTTCTCCTAATCCTCCTCCTCCTCTTCTTCCTCCTCCTCCTCCTCCTTCTCATCATCATCTTCATCATCACCATCATCATTACCACCACAACCACCCATCTTATCACCACCAACACCACCACCATCAACGTCATCATGATTATTGTCATCGTCGCCATCATCATCAGCAGCATCATCATCCTCATCATCATCATCATCATCATCATCATCATCAGCCCCACCACCATCATCATCATTAGCATCATCATCATCAGCGCCACCCTCATCATCAGCAACAGCGTAAGGCAGCCGCGAGCTCAGGCCAGCCTTTGTGGCGCAGCGGTGTCTTGAACGCGCCGAACCGTCACCAAGCTCTACGGCAGAGAGCTCATGCTATGGTGGCGCCGCGCGGGGGTATGGAGTCTGAGGCCCTCAAGAGCAGAACGTGTTCCAACGGAGGCCGCGAGCGAACGCAGTCAGCGTGGATCCGCATGAAGCTGGGCGCCCACAACAAACCAACCAACCGCACAGTTGACGCACAACTGATGCCTACCACACCTCGAATTTCGGCAACGAGCTGGTCAGCGCCAGTGCACACGACGACGGCGCGCAGGAGGGCCAAAACCGAATCTACTGCACCATGATGGTATCCAGTTCCGCGGAGACAACAGCCCCACGTTGTTCATCGCGACGGAGTCGAACACAACATCGGATTCCAGGTTCACGGAATCGACCAATGCCATGGTGCATGGTGCCCACCACGACGAAATCGAACACCCCGTTGGCGTCTAATTTTGCGGAGGCGAGCAATGCCAAGGCGTCCACGACGACGGAATCGTGCACAGCGTCGGTGTCCAACTCCATGGAACTCAACAATTCCACCGCGTCGAATAGCACCACGGTGTCCACCCCGACGCCGTCAAGCATTACGCCGGTAAGCAATCGTGCGCGCGAAGAGGGAGGCGCGCGCACCCTCTGTCACCTACTCACAGCCCAAGACAGCTGCGGCCCACGCGATGGCCAATGGCGATGTCCAGCGATGGCGTCGGCGGCGGCAGAAAAAAACGGCGAATATCAAATCACATGAACTCCCCCCGCAGCAGGATGCGTAAGCCGGACAACCAGCTCCCTCTGGAGCCGTCAGACTTCATGCCATCCCTGGGCACACTGGCCCCCACGGCGCCAAACTCAAAAACGCGTTGCACCGCGCGCGGCGGGATGGCATCCACTCCCGGAAGAGCTCCTGAAGCGGGCCGAAGCAGACTGACGCATCCCGGAGATAATACAGTGCGCCAGCTCATGACCATGTTCTTCGTCATCAGCATTGCCCTGATATTCAAAAACCTGTAGTCACCAGGCTGCATGCCGTTTAATTGTTCCTTCCGCCCATGGCCAAAGTCGTGCCACAATTAATGATCATATCCGTGATGAAATCCACAACAACGCACGGCTGAACCGCAAGTTCCTTCATCACTCGGCAATTAACGAGACGATCTCCATTCAACCACCAGCTCGCGAACTGTGCGTGGTTTTTCCCCCCTGTCCTTTGATTTTACCCTTTGAGCACCAATTCCAGTTACGCGCAGGGTAAAATCTCCCATTGTTTCATGCGTGGTCCACCACTGCCACCTCCTCTCGCACAGATGGAACTTGTCCCGTCCGGAACCCGAGTCCGCGTCTCATTCTCACGTTTCGCTGGCACCGCGTTCCCTCTGAATCTTCCGACTCACGCGTTGCTGCTCCGAGGGCGCCGCGGACGCCGGGGCAACCGATGGTCCGCCCACCAGGGTCGCTTGGCCACCGACATAACATTCCACTTTGAGTCTAGCCTTGGGTGGCGGCGTTCCTCCTCTATGCCCAGGAGCAAGTCTCTTGGGCGCTTGCGGCTAAGACGTCCGCCGTCCCCGCGGCGCCGGGGGAGGGGGCACTGAACCCCCTCGCAGGGGCGGCAGACCACTGGTTGAACCGGCAGCCGCACCAGGAGCAGCGACCACCTGATTGCTGAATTCGTGCCCTAAGCACCGCCGCTGACTGAGTCAGCGACGGCACGAGACGTCGGCACGCTTACCAGACTGGCAGCGACACCTAGGGCAGCGATGCGAGCTGAACCAGCGGCGGCCTCATGGCCTGCAGAAGCTGCTCGGTCGGTCATGCCGCAAGTTGAATCAGCGGCATCATCGACATCCACGGAGTCCGCACAGAAGGCCACGCCGGCAATGTGCCTCCATTTTTTTCGCGCGCACGAACGACGCCATAAGCGATCGCGGCTACATGTTCATCCTGTTGCGCTGTCATATTTCTCCATCTCGGCATCATGGCCCAAAATCTCCATGGTCCATTTGAACTCGCCACCGAGTTCCGCTATGCACGAGTGAATGGTCATTGCGAGGGCGCGTACTTTGGACCTACAGCGTGACCGCGTATCTTGAATGCGTGCCTCGACCAAGTCTGAACCACCGCGATTCTTGCCTCCGCGTCTAGCGCGTGCGAGCGTTCTCCGCTGCTCGGGGCAACGTTCGAATCCGAACGGCATCTCCCGGTCAACGTTCCCAGCCGGAAAAGCCACGCAACGGTCCTGCGCACTGGGCTCTCGGACAGCCCCGAGAACCCTGCCCGACCTTCGTGCGAGAGGCGATGTGGCATCTCTGCTTTCCCAGGCCAAGGGCGCACCTGCCCCCGCGCCCTGAAAACGTCACCGAGGGCCATGCTTTGGAGCCACCACGACCCCCGAAATCGCCGCCGAATTCAAAAGGACTTGCGCGGATTTGTTTTGCTTTTTGAGTATGCAATGCTGGGCGCGCAGGCCCGCCTGCAACCCCCCCGGCGAGCATCCACTCTGAACCAGACATCACCGCGGCCGTCGCCATCATCACCGCCAAGACCACAAGAGAACAAATATTACATTCATCATCGCGCTGAGGGCACGTCAGCCTGCGTCGCCGCACATCGACTCTTTGCCACAGCCGGGCGCCGCGTGCCTCCAGCAGCATTCGTCGACAGCTGTCAAGAGCAAAACCGCCGACATGGCCCTTGAAAGGGCCGCCAAGAGGGCCGCCGAAGGGGCCGCAGAGATCGTCGCCGACATCGCCGCCGAAATTGCCGCCGAAATCGCCGCCGAAATCGCCGCCGAAATTGCCGCCGAAATTGCCGCCGAACATGCCGCCGAAATTGCCGCCGAAATCGCCGCCGAAATCGCCGCCAAAATAATTGCGAACTCCGCCAGAATCGCCGCCGAAACTCAGCCGCCAAAATCGCCGCCGAAATTCAGCCGCCGAAATTGTCATTGCCCTGTCCAAAGCGAAATCCTCATTTTCATCAAGCTCGATGACGCCGCGGACACACGCACGCATTGAGTCACAGCCAAGGTCAATTTCGGCCTCTTTTCGGCGGCACAATCAGGAATTTCGGCGGAAATTTCGGCGGCGAGTTTGGCGGCAATTTCGGCGGCGATTTCGGCGGCAATTTCGGCGGCAATTTCGGCCGCAATTTCGGCGGCCCTGTCGACGGCTCTTTCGGCGGCCCTTTCGGCGGCAATTTCGGCGGCCCTTTCGACGGCTCTTTCGGCGGCCCTTTCGGTGGCGTTGCTTTTGCCAACTGTCGACCATGGCTGCCGGGAGCTCTGGGCACTCGGAGGCCCCGGCGGGGCCTGAGAGGGCCCTCGAAGGGCCTCGCCAGAAAGCGTCTGCAAAGTAGCTCAAGCCACGCGTCATTGGCACGCAACGTGCAGAGCGAATTCCTCCTCGCAACGTGCAAAGCGAATTCCTCGCGTTATGCGCCAGCACGCTCTACGATGCGCATGGAAAGCACCGCGCGACAGGCCGCGCCTGCACACCGAAACCATCAAGAAAAGCTCAATTTCGTTTGGAATGAATTTCGGCGCGCGCCCCTTTTCGTTTCCAAAGACAGTGCCACTACGAAAAACGGGCTATACGGCGGGAGCTCGAC